AGCAAGACGGCATGCTACTTGGCTCCTAAACCTGGCGCTCAGTCTTGGCTTGGCGCCCACACGATTCCTTCACTAGGAGCGGGGGGGCTGTAGTGGTGGTGGGGGGTTGCAGTGGACGTGGTCGTGGTTGTCGTCGTCACCGTCGTGGACAGTGGGCATGGCAATCGTCATCGTCATCGTCATCGTCATCGTCATCGTCATCGTCATCGTCATCGTCATCATCATGGCCATAGTTGTCGTCGTGGGTATGATGTTCTTCATGGCTCAGACTTCTTTGGGCTGATAGTGGCGATGTGGTCGAGCTCACGCATGGGGAATGTCCTGGGGCTGGGGTGGGGTGGGGTGGGGCAGGGTTGCACAGATGGCGCGCTGGTTTGCAGAAAAGCCGTCCAAGGCATGGATGGAGAAGTTCTCGCTCTGCTACGGCGTTTACTGGCTGATCTCGTTTGGGACGGTCATGCTGAGTGAGGTCTTCCGCACCTGGGGCGATGTCGAGTACATGACGTTTGCGGTGGCGGTGTCAGCGCCTGTGGCCGTCATCCCGTGGCTGCTGAGCATTATGGCGCCCGGGATGGGGCCGCCGGATGCGGCCAAGCCACTCAGTGAGCAGTACTGGTTCAAGGCCTTTGTGTGGATTACCATCTTCTCCTTCCTTGCCAACCACTTTTACACGCCGCTGCTGTTTGAGCTCTTTGACGGCGGCTACACCTTTGAGTCTGTGCAGTGGCGGGTGGCGAACATTCCGCTCATCATGCACGTCCTCACCATCGGGTTCTTCATCTCGTACCACGCGCTCATCACGCCCATCCTGCGGCGGATCCACTCGGGCATGGCGCCCGGCGTGATGCGGACGCTCGCCGTGGCGGTCGCGGTCGTGGTCCTCGCCTACGCCACTGCCATGGGCGAGACGCTCGGCGTGTCATCGATTGACGACATGTACTACTTTAAGGACCGTGCGTACATGCTCTCGGTCGGCTCGATGTTCTATGGCTTGTACTTTGTGGTCTCGTTCCCCATGTTCTGGCGGCTCGATGAGGCTCTTGCCGAGACCTGGAGCCTCAAGCAGGCTGTTATCGAGTCGTTTGCGGCGTCGATGATGATCCTCTGCCTACTCGACGGCTGGCGGCTGCTGGCGATCGCGTACCTGCCGGACCTGCACTCGTGAGATAAACAACGTGGCTGTGTTAACAAATGGCTAGCGGGAGCAGTCACTGCGAGCGTGGGTGGTCGTTGCAGACTTAGAGGACGTGCTCGAGGACCCGGGTGAGGATCGAGAGCTCCGAGTTGACGTTCTTGATCAGACGCATAATCTCCTGCTTGGACTCGAGGACGATGACACGGCGGGTGTAGGGGTCGAATGTGACGGCAAACGGGCGGTCGAGGCGCATGGCCCACGAATGCAGGGCGGTGGCCATGTTGGCAAACGAGTCGGCCACAAAGTAGACCGGCTGGAACGAGGTGATGGGGTACTCCTGGGTGGCGGCGGCCTCCAGGTCGAGCGGGCGGTGCTCGGGCTCGTCCGAAGTGCAGTACTGCAGCTCGCCAAACGAGGAGAGGAGGCCGGCGCCGTAGGCGCGGATGCCACCCTCCTCGCGAGTCACGCCAAACTCGACGGTGAACCAGTAGAGCGTCGCCAGCTTCTTGATGTCGTCGTCGGTAGCGCCGAGCGAGGCAAGGCCGATGGCTTGCGAAAACTGAGCAAACTCGAGGTTGGCAAAGAGCGGAACGTGGCCGAGCAGCTCGTGGCACACATCGGGCTCGGGCGTGTACATCGGCGTCGACGAGTGGCGGATGTACGAGGTGCAGAAGAAGGTGCGGAAGGCGAGCGCGTTGAGGAACGACCGCGACGAGATGAGGCCAGGCGCAATGCGGAGGCGGAAGCCCGTTGACGACTGCAGAAAGTCCGAGACCTCGGCGAGCTGCGGAATAGTGTCGGGCGAGTAGACGCCGCGGGCCTCGAGCAGGTTGAACGCAGCGATGAACTCCTTGCACGCGTGCGTCGGATGGAGCTCCTTGAGCTTGGTATAGATCGTGCGCCATGTCGCCGTCTCCTCCTCATTGTACTCGAACCGCGGCATCTGGTCCTTGTGCCGCGTCGAGTACGCCGTCTCCGCAAACTTCTCCCTCCGAGCCCGGTACGCCTCGTCGGTGAAGCCTGGGTGGTCCGCGTCGAGCTCAGCGCCGTAGCCCCACACGTCTTTGACAGACTCATCGAGGTCCGCCTCGCATCGTGGGAACCATGGTACGTCTGTGGGTGAGGGGCGGGGGGGGGGGTGGGGTGGCCATGATCACGTGCGCCGTGGTGTGATCGATCGTAATCGGTTAGTGCGACCTTTTGCTGACGCAGTGCCACGGAGGGGAGCGGGGGAGGGGGGGAGGGGGGGAAGGACATGGACGTACCATTGGTGGCAAGATGGGTGACGCGCTTGGCAGGCAGGGCGGTGATGAGCGAGCTGAAGGTCTCCTCGTCGACACCGTTGACGTCGATCTCGATGTCGTACTCCTCAGCGTTGACGGCAGACGGCCGTGAACGAATGCGCGACATGTTCACCGAGTGCTCCCGAAAGACGTCCACAACGTCGGCGAGCTTGCCAGGCGAGTGGGACAGTGTCGCCACAATGGTCGAGCCCGCAGCGGCGTCACGCGCCGGAATATCAACTGCTGCAGATGGTGTGTCCATGTTGTGGGTGAAGTGTGGCAAGAAACGGCGGAGGTGTAGGGGGGAGGAGGAGTGGGGGTCAGACCGGGCCAAGGACTGGCCTATGTTGGTGATGGAGAGCCAACGAATGAATGAGCTTGGGCTTTGGACGGTGGGGCGACGAAGCGACGGGGCTGCGGAGCTGCAGCGTGGGTGGGGCAGACTTGACCATGTCGGCTGCTGGTGACGAGCCGGAGGTGCCAGCTGCAGTGGCTGTGGAAGACGGGGATGTGGAGGGTGGCGGCGACGACGGCGACGACGGCGATGGCGGCGACGACGGCGACGACGGTGCGGATGACGTGGAGCTCGAGCTGGACGCGCTAGAGCTGGCACCGCAGCCGTTTACGGCTGACGAGATCCGGGCGGCGGTGCGGGTGGGGACAGCGTACACGTATGTGGTGGGCGACAAGCGGGCGGGCGAGACAAGCATGCTGCGGATGGAGGTGGTGGCGTGCGACGACGACGGGGCAACGGTGAGAGACTACGAGTGGCCGCTGCCGGACGGCGTGGTTCCTGTGCCCAAGGCCGAGGTAGCTGCGGCCGGATCTCGATTTCCGGTGCCCGAGGGAATCGCGGCCAAGGCCGAGTACTCGCAGAGCTGGGAGGAGATGGCGAGCAAGGGCGCGTCGCGGGCAGACGTCACAGCCATCATTCCTGGGCGCGAGGTTGAGACGCCCGCAGCCGTCTATGCTGCCACCTGCTACTCACTCACCGACGACGTCGGGGAGATGCGGCGGCGGATGTACTACTCAAGTGATGTGCCGGGCTTGCCGGTCAAAATGGAGATCTTTGCCCACTTTGAGATCGTGTACTCGATGGCGCTGGCGGAGTTTGTGGCGTGAGGACGATGGAAGGGAATGGCGTTTAGAGGGATCAGCGGCGCTCGCGGCGGCTCTCCTTCTTCTTGTTCCGCGAGAGGATGATGAGAATGCGGACAAAGATAGCGACAAAGTCGATGAAGAGCTCGACGGCGTGCCAGACGGCGTCACGGTCGCCGCGGGCGGCCTTCTCGATCATCAGCTGGGTGTCAAAGGCGACAAAGCCGGAGAAGACGCAGAGGCCGACCCAGAGCTGGGCGGTAAAGAGAGCCGATGAGCCGATGAACAGGTTAGCGATGGAGAGGACGAGGAGGCCAGTGATGGCCGACGAGAGCATGCCACCAAAGAGGAGGACCTGCCGGCGCGGGGCGTACATGGCCATGGCAGTAAAGGCGGCAAAGACGGCGACGGTGCCGACAAGCGCCATCAGGACGAGCGAGGCGTCCTGCAGGAGGACAAGGCCGACGAGCGGGCCGATGGATGCGCCCTTGCAAAAGGTAAAGGCCACAAAGCCGGCCTTGCGCGACGACTGATCGTTCTTGTCGGTCGCGCCGATGTACATCAGCGCTGCCAGAGCGCCAAGCGTCGTGAGCACGCCACCAATGTTGAACGCCAGGTGGGTAAAGGTACCAAATGCGGCCATGGCCACACCAAAGGTCAGCAGCGAGTACACGTCGACGAGATGAGCCTGGACGGCCGGCGTCACCGCGTCCATGGCCTTTACCGCATCCCAGTTCATTTCTCCGTTGGCCATACCAAACCGCATACCACCTGTAGCCATATTGTCTTCAGTCCTATGTACTGTAACGTGTGCAAGTGAGGTGTGTCCGTGTCAGGTCAGCCGGCAGGTCAGTCGGGGTCACGGGGCTGCAGGGCCTGTGGGAGCTTGGATTGGCAACATGGATGAACGATGGTTAGGCGGCGGAGGCGGGGGGGCGGGGAGGGGGGGGGGGGGGGGGGCTATGTGCGCGTTGATATGTGTTTTTCTGTGTTGATTTGTGTCGATGATCATCACCTCGTTGCGGCTGATTGGCTTGGGACATCATGGCTATAAGCTGGGTGGGGAGGGAGGGAGGGGCAGCAGCTTCCGAGTGGGCCACACACGACTTGGAGAGGAGGATGACGTTCTGGACGGCTGAGCGGCTGCAGTGTACGGGAGGGAGGGGAGGGGGGGAGGTGGTTGGTGGGGGAGGAGGAGGAGGATATGGGATACTCATGGTCATGCGGGCGGTGCGTCGGTCGGCAGTCCTCCGTGTGGCGCAGTGGGCGGTCCCGGTCATGGTCCTCGCTGGTGTGCCGCTGTACAACCGGTACCTGGGCGGGCCGGAGAAGCGGGCAGCATGGGAAGAGTACAAGGAGCGGCAGAGAGTGTTTGCTGAAGAGGCGCAGAAGCGGATCGCATCGGGCGAGGGCAAGAGCGAGGGCGAGTAGGCAGGAGGCTAGAGAAGCTCGGGATCGTCGGCTGGAAGATGGCGGCGACGGACGAGGACGCGGCCGTCGACGTCGCCCGAGGCGAGCCAGCGGCCATCGGCAGACCAGGCGAGGTCGACGACGGCAGCTGCGTGGCCGTCGAGGCGGGTGACGAGCTCGGTCCTGGGCCCGTCGTCGGCATCGTCGCGATCGGCCGAGGTGCTGTAGACGGTGACGGCCCCGGCTTCCGAGCCGACGGTGAAGCAGAGGCCGAGATTGTCAAGCGAAGCCGTCGGGCAGAACTTGGCGCGGAGAGCTAGATTGGTCTGAAAGACCAGGAACTGGGTGAGCGGGGTAAATACTGAGCCCGAGGACGAGACCCGAAAGACGCGGACCATCTTGTCGCGGCAGGCGGCGAGGACGACGTTGACCGACGAGCGCAGCGTGTAGTGGACGGCGTAGTCGAGCGAGGAGATGCCGCGCCCGCGGGCAGCAAGGATGCGCACAGCCTCGCGGAGTTTGCCGCTGCTCGACGAGAGCGAGTACGCATACAGCATGCCGTTGGCGTCGCCTGCAAAGCCTGGGTGCCGTTCGGGTTGAAGCTTAGCGCTGTGACCGCGCCCGACAGCCGGCTCTTGGCCATCGACTTGCCGGTCGACATGTTGAAGACCTTGAGCAGCTTGTCCATCGAGCCGACGACAAACAGGTTGTTGTTGAGGGGGTGGAAGCGGATGGCGAAAAGCTCCGCCTTGCCGTACACAATCCGCAACGTGGTGCCAGAGAACGCGTCCCACACCCGCGCCGTCTTGTCGAGCGAGGCCGAGACCACAAAGTCGCCCGAGAGCGACCAGTCAAAGTCGGTCACGGCCTTGGTGTGCCCGCTCAGCGCTACTTTCGACTCGTCGCCGTCCTCTACGCCCGAGACCAGATGGATCGAGCCGTCCATGCACGCGTAGCCAAAGCGGACAGGCTCGAGCTGTCGCGCAAAGGCAACGGTCGAGACTGGCTGCAGCGGCGAGCCGAGGACAAGAGCTGGTGCCGCTTCGAATGCGTAGTCGGCCGCGCGCGACGCGGCAGCCAGCGACGCGGCAGCCTGCGAGTCGTCAGCCGCCACATCGGGCAGGAGCGTGAGGATCTGCTGGGCCGACGGCCGCCGCTCTGGCGCCTCGGTCCAACACTGCTGGATGATGGCAGTGAGCTCGTACGGCACGCTCGACGGGACAACTAGCGGCGAGAGGCGGACGGCTTGCGAGACCTGCCGCGAGAACGAGACAATCGAGGCCTCTGACTCGGAGACAACCGATTCCGAGTGCTCGGTGTAGACGCCGGACTCGGAGCCGAGCGACGGCGGAGCAAGACCCTGGATGGCCGCCAGCGCGTCGGCGGCCTCGGCCGGCGTGCTTGTCCGTCGTGGCGGAATCGACGGCCCAGGATGCGACGCCGACGGCCCCGGCTGCGACGACGACGACGACGCGCCCGAGCCGCGGGCGGGGACCTGCGGCTCGGCAGCTGGCACTGTCGCGGGTGGCTCAAGCACACCGTGGCCCTGGCGAAGCGCCGTGACAGGATCCTGCAGCGTGGCGAGCTCGTAGAGAACGACGCCAAACGAGAAGACGTCCGAGGCCCGGGTGTACGGCAGCGCGTCCCAGACCTCGGGCGCGGCATATGCTGGCTTGAATGAGCGGAGGATCTTGGCGCCGCTGCCCTCGTCAACCGAGAGGCCAAAGTCAGTGAGCTTGATGTGGTCGTCGAGGGTGACGAGCACGTTCTCGGAGGTCAAGTCGCGGTGGAGAATGCACGGCGCGTGGGTGTGGAGCATGCCCATGACAACCGCAATCTCGCGCGCCCACCGAAGCCGCAGCTTCCACGGCGGCGGATGAGCAGCGTGGAGGACCTTGAACAGTGAGCCGCGCTCGACATACTCCATGATGAGCCAGATCTCGCGCCGGGCGCGGGCACTCAGCGTGCTCCGCGCCGCGGTCCCAGCTTTGGGCGAGTCGTCCACCTCACTCTTCGCTGCGCACGCGGCGTCATCGTCGTCACTCCCGCTGTCGCGATAAAGCCCCGCGGCGCCGTCTGCACGGCCAGCCAAGCGCGAGTGCATGCGGCGGAGGCGGCGGGAGGCACGAGACGGCGGGAGGCTTGACGACGGCGGCGACGGGCCGCGGCCAGGCCCCGAAGGGGTGGCAGCGGCATCGGGGACTGCCAGTGCAATGAGACGAACAACATGAGGGTGATCGAGCGTCTTGAGAAAGCCGATCTCGAGCGAGACAGCCGAGCTCGACGCCGTGTCGGTCACCGCGTAGCGGAGCTTCTTCACCGCCACGGTCTTGCCGCCGACCTCTGCCCTGTACACCGTGCCAAAGTTGCCTGACCCGAGCTTCTCCCGCACCACCAAGTCTCCCACTGCCAGCGTCGGTATCTCTGTTTGAGCCGTTGCCGCCATGGCTGCGGTCGGGTGAGGGTGAGGTGGCGAGAGGTGTGGTCAAAGAGGCTACAGTGACGAAGCGTGCGCATGCCACATGCGGGTGTAGCAGGGCTAGCAGGGTGGCGTATCGGATGCGGGAGAGGGGGGGAAGATGGACGATAGTGGTGATCTGATGGATGGTATGTGATCGTGGCGAGGGGTGCGCGGAAGGTGGGCGGGTTTGGCCGGGGCCATCTCTGGGTCGCCGCGGGTTGGAGCTCCCACTGCCAGCGTCGGTATCTCTGTTTGAGCCGTTGCCGCCATGGCTGCGGTCGGGTGAGGGTGAGGTGGCGAGAGGTGTGGTCGAAGAGGCTACAGTGGCGAAGCGTGCGCATGCCACATGCGGGTGTAGCAGGGCTAGCAGGGTGGCGTATCGGATGCGGGAGAGGGGGGGAAGATGGACGATAGTGGTGATCTGATGGATGGTATGTGATCGTGGCGAGGGGTGCGCGGAAGGTGGGCGGGTTTGGCCGGGGCCATCTCTGGGTCGCCGCGGGTTGGAGCGGCTCATGCGCAGGCGCAGGTTGGGCTCATTGGATGGATGTGGACGGCAGCGTAGCACTAGGTGATAGACGTGGCACTCGGCTGGGTCGATGACGAGATTGAGCTTGAGATGGAGGCAAGGAGGAGTGGGGGAGGGGGCAACAAACAACCCTTAGCGGTACGGTCGTTCGGACGCGTTGTCGCGCGTCTCAAAGTGGAGAACTCGATGGTGCTCGACTTTCAGGTCACCGGCTGACGCTGCGCGACGCCTGCTTGGCCTGCGGCTTGAGGTGGGAGGCGCGCCTGCACGTGATGGCGGCCGACACGTAGACGTCTGCCTGAAGGATGCCCGAGTTGCCGTCGCGGTGACGACCCCGACGACCGGGAAGGAGAGCATGCCAGAGTTGAACACAGCGGCCGGACGGGAGAGCGCGAGGATGTCTTGCGACGGACGAGCTTGCCGGTCGGCGTAGCCGCGCAAGGGGCGGCACGCCATCTTGAACTGGAATCTGGACGCCGCGCCCATCAACGCGTACGCGCGCTGCGCTGACGCGAGCCCACGACCCGCCATGGCTCGTGTGGCTTTTCTCCACGACATCATCGACGCCCTCGCCGCCAGCGCCGTCGTCGTCAGCTCCGCGCCGTCGCGCAAGCGAAAGCGACCGGCTGCAGCGGCTGCTCGTCATCACCACATTCCCCAACAAGCCGCTCTGCGACGCGACTGTCTCGCCTGCCAGAAGCTTCATGGTAAGCGATCGCGGCCGCAGACCTTTTGCGCCGCGTGCGGCGTCCATCTCTGCATCGCCGGCTGTGTTCTGTTGTGGCAGCCACTACCACATTGTACTACTCTCTTACAACAATCCATGGACGTTGCGACGTCTGTGGAGTGTTGCGAAGCGGGGCTTGCGCGATGGACAAATTGTCCATTCCGTACGGTAAAGATATAAGTGGAACGGGAAATGTATTTGCGGATTCGCCAACGCCTCTCTCAGGTACGTAAGCATGAATAGCATTCACAGGTGTTGGTCGCCCCCGTTGCAATGAGGGGGGGGGGCAGGGGGGGGCATTTAGTGTGAGAGTGGGTATGGCGGGGGGTGGGGAGGGAAGGAGAGTGTGGAGACAGGGCAAGTCACACACTCCCTGTTCATGTACCACCACTACCCTTCCTCTTTCCCCTCTCCCTCTCCCTCCCCTTCTCCTTCCCCTTGTCCCCTTTCCTGGAGCAGAGGAGGACTGGCAAGCCTCGGAACGGCGTTTTTGTGTCGTTGGCCAAGCCAGGGGCGAGGAAGGCAGGTGTTGGGGACAGGGAGAGGTAGGGGAAGGGATGTATGTATGTAGGATGGTCGGGGGATAGATTGGACGATGGTGGTTGCATGTCCGCTCTCTCTGAGGGTGTCAGGTCGCTTCATGTGATGCCTGACGCCCCGCCTGCGCCCCACCCCCGACCTCCCCTCCCCCCCTTGCTGGCGGTGTGGTTGATGGCAATCTTGGCACGCGTGCCGGGCTAAGCGACCTCCCGCACACACTCACAGAGCAATGAATGGTTTGGATGTCCGTGAGATAGAGTTGGTTGTTCACATACATACTGTGTGCTATTGGTATTGCCTTCTGAGACCTGTTTTTCCCAAAGCGCGAGGACGTTGCTCTACTTGGCTACGCCGTCTCTGTTGAGTTGAGGTCGACGAGTCTTCATGTCGGGCCTCCCGCCGCCGCCCGACGGCCTACCGCCACCGCCTGCGGGTCTGCCGCCGCCGCCTGTAGGCCTGCCGCCGCCGCCTGCGGGTCTGCCGCCGCCGCCTGTGGGCCTGCCGCCGCCACCTGTGGGCCTGCCGCCGCCTCCAAGTGATATTCCTGGGCCGCCGCCTGGTGGTCCGCCCGCTAGTGTGCCTGGTCCCCCGCCTGGTGGTCCGCCTGCTGGTGTGCCGGGCCCGCCGCCTTGTGGTCCGCCCGCTAGTGTGCCGGGCCCGCCGCCTGGTGGCCCGCCCGCTAGTGTGCCTGGTCCTCCGCCTGGTGGTCCGCCTGCTGGTGTGCCGGGCCCGCCGCCTGGTGGTCCGCCCGCTGGTGTGCCTGGTCCGCCGCCTGGTGGTCCGCCCGCTGGTGTGCCTGGTCCTCCACCTGGTGGTCCGCCCGCTGGTGTGCCTGGTCCGCCGCCTGGTGGCCCACCTGCTGGCGTGTCTGGTCCGCCGCCTGGTGGCCCACCTGCTGGCGTGTCTGGTCCGCCGCCTGGTGGTCCGCCCGCTGGCGTGCCTGGCCCGCCGCCCGGAACACCGCCCGCGACCATCCCTCGTCCACCACCTGGTGGCCCGCCCGCTACCATCCCTGGCACGTCGCCTGGTGGCCCGCCCGCTACCATCCCTGGCCCGTCGCCTGGTGGCCCGCCCGCTACCATCCCTGGCCCGCCTCCTGGAGCACCACCCGCTACCATTCCTGGCCCGCCGCCTGGTGGTCCGCCCGCTAGTGTGCCGGGCCCGCCGCCTGGTGGCCCGCCCGCTAATGTTCCGGGCCCGCCGCCTGGTGGTCCGCCTGCTGGCGTGCCTGGCCCGCCGCCCGGAACACCGCCCGCTACCATCCCTGGCCCGCCGCCTGGCCCGCCCGCTAGTGTACCAGGCCCGCCGCCTGGTGGCCCGCCCGCTAATGTACCGGGCCCGCCGCCTGGAGCACCGCTCGCTGTCATCCCTGGCCCGCCGCCTGGTGGTCCGCCTGCTACCATCCCTGGCCCGTCGCCTGGTGGCCCGCCCGCTAATGTTCCAGGCCCGCCGCCTGGTGGCCCGCCCGCTAATGTACCGGGCCCGCCGCCTGGAGCACCGCCCGCTGTCATCCCTGGCCCGCCGCCTGGTGGTCCGCCTGCCGGTGTACCGGGCCCGCCGCCTGGTGGCCCGCCCGCTAATGTACCGGGCCCGCCGCCTGGAGCACCGCCCGCTGTCATCCCCGGCCCGCCGCCTGGTGGTCCGCCCACCAAGCCAGCCCCGCCGCCACCGTCGTCACTCCCGCCGCCGCCATCGTCGCTCCCGCCGCCCAAGCCTGTTCCGCTGGCGAACCGGCCACCGGTTGAGGCCGCGACGCCACCGAGAAAGGCCCCGCGGCCTGCGGGGGTGAGCAAGTCGGAGCGCAAGGTCTCGCGGGTCTCGATGCTCGCCGGCAACCTGGCGGGCCTTTTTGGCGGCCCAGCGGCTGGCTCGTCTGCGGCGCCTGGGCCTGTCCGGTCCGACGTGGCTGCGTCTGCCAATGCCATGCCGGTGTCGTCGGAGGAACGACTGAAGAAGGACCTGGAGGTGCTGCCGGAAGGGCACTCGGTGCTCAAGCTCCGCAACACGCTCCAGGTCCTGCTCAAGGGTGAGCAGCGACTCAACACAATGGGCATTTCCGAGCTTCGGCCCGAGATGGCGGGCGGAGCCGAGAAGACCTCTGCCTTTGCCCGTGACGAGTCGGACGACGACGAGGCTGCGGCGTCGGTTGCCGAGCCGCTGCTGCCCGGCATGGGCGGGCGCGGCGCGGTCGGCGCGCCCGCTCTGGAGGACATCGAGAGCGGCGTCGAGGACGCCGCTGCCGCCGCCGCCGCCGCCGCCAAGATCAACACCACCTCGGAGGCCGAGGCCCCTCCCACGGTGACGGTCACGTATCAGCGGCGCCGCGAAACCGAGCAGCAGGTCCAGCTGCAAATCTCGCCGTACGCGACGGTGGTGGAAGAGTTCCCGGCCTTTGTCGAAGCGTTTGGCATTCCGCCCGAGGAGGCTGAGCTGCTCGGCGTCTACATGCGGATGGAGGCCGGCATTGTCAAGGAGCTGCCGATGAATGACATCTTCATCATGCACGCGGTTGCCAACGGCACCGTGCTCGAGCTCCGGCTCCGGTCGTCGACGTCCAAGGTCGGCATTGTCATCCAGGTCGCGGATCCGTTCGCGGTCTACATCCAGTACGACGCGCTGACGACGGTGCAGGACGTGCTCTCGCTGCTGTCGACGCAGCTCGCGGCGCGGTCGATCTCGGTCGACGGCCTCGAGCTCTTCCTCCCGGCAGAACACCTCTGGCTCTCGCCGACGGAGACGATCGCCTCGTACGAGCTCGGCGTGGAGGAGTACCTTGAACTCAAGGCGCGGCCGGCGGTGACCAAGACCAAGTCCAAGACGGTCAACGTCAAGATCACCTTTGAGGCGACGGCGGACGACACGTCGGCTGCGGTCGACTCGAACCTCATCCTCGCCGGCGAGAGCGTCAACATGTCGGCGCGGATGAAGCTTGCGCTGGACAAGACGGTAGCCGAGACGCTCCGGCTGATCAACAAGAAGTTCCTCGTCAAGCACGTCCGTGAGTACGGCCTCGTCATGTACCCGTCCAAGGACAAGTCGTCGGGCATGTTCTTGCACAACGGATCCTCGCTCGTGGACTACGCGCCGGTCCTATCCAAGACCAAGGAGCTGTCGTTCCAGCGCCGGCTGCGGCCGTACACTGTCACATTTTCGACCGGGCAGGTCGCGACGTACCGCTGGTCCGACGACACGTCTGTGCAGGACGTGCTCGACGCGCTGAGCAAGTCCGGTGGTCGGCCCGCGCTCGCGTCGGCTTCGCTCCCGGTCCGCGTCGTCACCATCGATGACACCTCGCTTGCGCTCGCCGAGGACCCCGCGCCGGTGGCCGACGCGGCGACGCCGTCGCGCTACGTCCCGCCGCCGCCGCCGGCCAACCCGCCGCCGCCGCCGCCAATGCCGCCGGCCGACTGGCAGGGCAAGCGCGGGAATGACCCGCACAAGTTTGCTACCCACCTCTTTGGCCTCTTCCTGCCGCTGCCGTACTTTAACAAGGCGGCGCCGAACACGCCGCTCAACCCGAGCTGGAAGCTTGGCGGGCTTGAACTCGGCTCGCAAGTCCGCAAGTGCGAGTACAAGCTCCTCTACCGGCGGATCAAGCAGCCGATCAAGGTCTACTTTGACGACCCGTCGCTCGGCCGGCTTGACCACGACTTTGAAGTCGACTTTTCGCACAAGGTCGTCAAGATCATTCCCATCATTTGCCGCCAGTTTGGCCTCCGCTTTCCGTACCACTATGAGCTTGCCAAAGGCGACGTCTCAGGAAGCCTCAAGACCATCCCGTACGAGGAGTCGCTGCTGCAGGCGCAGGTCCCGTACTCGTCGTGGGCCATGCTCCGCCGCTTACCCGAGGACCAGATCCCGCCTCCGCCCGAGGAGGAGGGCGAGGCAGTCAACATCTGGGACTCGCTCCCGCCGTGCCCAGAAAACCTGGTGCCCATCGAGGGCACGCCGCCGGGCACCGACCTCGACTCGGCCGGCATCGAGCTCGCATCGCTCAACAAGCTCGTCGAGCGGCTGACGCACTTTTCCAACCATTCGATGGAGTTCCAGAAGACCTTCCTCATGACCTACGAGTCGTTCACCACCTCGGAAATGCTCGTGACCAAGCTGCTCGAGCGGTACTACGTTCCACGGCCGGTCGGCCTCTCGCTCGCCGACTACCGCAAGCTCCGGTCGACGGTGACGCTCCGGATCATCAACGTCTTCCGCTCTTGGTTCCCCACCAGCTACGAAGACTTTTCCGACTCGCTCAAGGAGTTTGTCACCTCGTTCATCACTTCGACGCTCGTCGAGGACGGGTGGGGCCCGCTCGCGGCGTCGCTCTACGCCAAAACCATCCAGCAGGTCGAAGCCGCCGCCGCCGCCAAGGAGGACGACATGATTGCGCTCGCATCCATTGCAGCGTCGGCCGCCGCAAGCAGCTCCAAGAAGGGCAAAAAGTCGCTCTGGTCCTACGATGAGGTCGAAATCGCACAGCAGATGTGTCTCATCGACTTTTCCATGTACAAGGTCATCAAGCCGCGCGAGTTTATTTCGCAGGGCTGGGAGCGCGAAAAGTACCACCACCTCTGCCCGCGGCTCATGGCCTTTATCGAGCACTTCAACAACATCTCCAACTGGGCCATCCTCTCCATCGTCTCGCAGGACACGCTCAAGAAGCGGGTCAAGCGCATGGAGAAGATCATCCGCGTCGGCAAGGAGCTTGCAGAGCTCAACAACTTTAACTCGCTCATGGCCCTTGTGTGTGGCCTCAACACAGCTGCCATGCTCCGCCTCAAGTACACCCGCGCAGGCCTCTCCAAGAAGGCCACACGCATGCTCGAGGAGCTCGAGGCCATCTGCTCAGCAGAGTCGTCGTACAAGTCGCTCCGCGCCCGCATCGCTTCGGCCCAGCCGCCGTGCATCCCGTACGTCGGCGTGTACATGCAGGACCTGACCTTTATCAACGACGGCAACGAGAACACCGTCAACGGCCTCATCAACTTTGGCAAGCGCCGCCTCGTCTTTGACCAGATTGCCAAGATCCAGCTCTACCAGCAGACTGGCTGGGACTTTCCGCGCATCCCCATGGTTTACCGTACCCTTGTCCACCCGACCCCGGGTGTGTCTGAGAACGACTTGTACCAGCTCTCGCTCCTCCGCGAGCCGCGAGGCTGCTCCAAGTCGGATGTGAAGTAACTCTCCCCTACCCCCTTTACCTGCACAGTCGTTCGGGCACACGGTCGCGCCCGTGTTTGCGCGCCTCAAAATGAACTCCACGGTGCACATCATCCAGCCGTGTCAGTGGCTCGAGAACAGAACGCTTTCGATGATTCCGCCACAAAAGCTCGTATTAAAGAGCACGCTGTTTGGGCTTCTGTTGGCGCCTGTGGCACGGCGACACCATACTTCTTTTCGCATTCCGGAGAGCAGTTGCAAGCAAGAATCATCATGGCGGCGACCAAGGAGAGTGCCAGTGGATCGTATGCAGCGCCTCGTGTGGCCTTTGCCACTCCCGAAGAAACGGCTGGAGCAGCAGCGGCGGCGCTGAGTGAGGAAGGCGTGGTGGTGATCACCGGGGTGTACGATGCGGCGCAGTGCGGCCGGCTGCGGACGAACGTGCTGGAATCGTTCGAAGCCCTTGGAACCGGATTCGAAGCGCGGCGGCCGTGGGAGACGTGGCGTGATGAGCGACTGCCAGTCCAGTCGCGGCGCGGGATGTTCCAGTGCTTGATGAGTGGTGCACCGCCGGTGCGTGAGGTGCGGACCGATCCCCGGCTGGCGGCTCTGTGGCAGGCTATCCACAAAGAGCTCGGGCACGGCGACATCGAGCTACTCTGCTCCAACGATGGCATCAACGTGACGCCGCCGCTGGCAGCTGCCGCGCTTCCGGCCAAACCGCCGCGCGACTGGCCGCACACCGACGCCATGTATGGGATGGAGAGCGACGGTTCGATCCAGGGCCAGATGGTGCTCAATGGGTCGCAGGCCGTCCTCCGCGCCACGCCCAAGTCGCACAAGATGTGGGAGTGGACGTGCGAGCGACTGATGACCGAGACAGACCGCAAGACCGCACGCGGCGGCTGGCACAAGCTCAACAAGGCCAAGATCGAGAGCCTCCAGGCTGCGATGACCGAGCAGTTTGGCGAGGTGGCGTGGCAGGTTCCGATCTACGCTCCCGAGGGCTCGCTCGTCCTCTGGTTCTCGTCGACGATCCACTCGTCGACTGGCTACGTGGCCAACCCGCCACCGCCGGCCGCCATCGCCGGCTCAGCCATCCCCGACGCCGATCCTCTCCGCGACTGGCGCTTTGTCATCTACGTCTGCTTCTTTCCGCTCTCGGTCTACGACGAGCGCGACGGCGGGCGCGACGCGGTCCGCCAGCGGTCACAGCAGGCGCTCGAGCTCAATCGGACAACCCCGCACTCGACCGCCAAGCTCTTCCCGCCTGTCGGCCGCACCTATGAGCGTCGTGGCAAAATCCGCTACGTCGATCGCGTGGTCGAGCTGATGAAGTCGCCAAGCGATGCACTGGCGCTGTGGGCATCGTTCGACTTTACTCAATGAATGGTCATTGAGTTCCGCCAAACATGGAGCGTCGACAGAGAGCGAGCCACAAGCACACCCATACCCACCCACTTGCCTCGACCACGAAGCCGCCATGGGGCTTATTAATGACCAAGAGAAGAGCGCACTGAGTACGTCATGGCTGTTGAAGGTTGACGAGGAGGGGGGGTGGGGGGCGGAGGAGGGGAGGGGACGTGAGGAACACGGCTTCCAGCAGGTGGCTATGCCTTTTTCCTGGGAATGGCGAAATCGGGTGTGATCGATCGGCGAGTGATCGATCAGCGGACGGGCGGTGCTGGTGGTGGTGGAGGGAAGGGGGGAGGGAACTCACGCAGTGGGGTACAGAGCAAGCTGTGCGGCCGAACAAGATCACGTATGCGACTGTGGCGCGACTGTACCAGTCTGATGAGCGAGGGAGCGCGTGGGTGACGACGGGCCGGATGGGCGCGGTGTGCCTGGTGAAGGACCGCGGCAACCCGCGGCACTATCTCCGAATGTACACGCTGGACCGGACGGCGCAGCTGCTGTTCCAGATCGAGCTGTACCAGTCGTTTAAGCTGACGCAGGCCGGCGACCACTTTCTGACGTTTGAGGGCGACAAGCGGATGTACATGCTCTCGTGCGCGCACCCGATCGAGTGCGGCAAGCTGCTGAAGCAGACGAACGCAGCGGCGCCGCTGGTGGGCACGTCCAAGACGGCCAAGCCGGTCGGCTACTCGACGACGGCGAACGCGACACTGCCGACCAAGAAGAAGAAGAAGAAGAAGAAGAAGGGTTGGTTCGGCTCGTCCAAGGACGAGGGCCCGCGGCTGGAGATTTCGGCGCCAAAGGACTTTCGGCACATCTCGCACATTGGGTACTCGTCAACCGAGGGCTTTTCAACCTCGAACCTCCCGCCCGAGTGGGCACAGGTCTTTGCCGAGGCCGGCGTTACCGAGGCTGACCTTGCCGACGAGGAGACGGCCAAGATCTGCATGGACTTTATGAAGAACAACCAGCTGCCCGAGTCGAACGGGCCAGCGGCTCCGCCTCCGCCTGCGCCGCGGTCGCGCGGCGCGCCGCCAGCCCCGCCACCATCGCGAGGAGGAGGCCGAGGCGCGCCGCCAGCCCCGCCGCCGTCGCGATCGCGCGGTCCTGCACCGCCGCCGCCGCCGCCAACCTCGCGTGGGGCCGCGCCGCCGCCGCCGCCACCGTCGTCCCGTGGCGGTCCGCCGCCACCGCCGCCGCCGTCGTCCCGTGGAGGCCCGCCGCCACCGCCGCCGGTTGCGCGCGGGGGAGGCCCGCCGCCGCCGCCGCCGCCATCAGGAGGTGGAGCGCCGCCGCCGCCGCCGCCGCCGCCATCGGGAGGTGGCCCGCCACCGCCACCGCCGCCGCCACCGGCTGGAGGTGGTGGTGGAGGCCGCGGTGGCGGAGGTGGCGGAGGTGGCCGCGGTGGCCTCCTCGGTGCCATCCAGGGCCACTCGGGCGTGGGCGGTCTGAAGAAGGCCGAGGACCGGCCGCGGCCGCCGCCGTCGAGCGGCGGCGGGCGCGGAGGCCTTCTCGACGCCATCCAGGGCCACGGCGGAGTGGGTGGCCTCAAAAAGGTCGACCGGTCTGCGCTCGAGCAGAAGCCCGTGGCGGCAGAGCCGTCGAACCCGATGGCGGCGGCGCTGGCCAAGGCTCTCGAGGGCCGGCGTGGCGCCGTGGCCAACAACGGCGGCTCGTCGAGCGACGACGACTGGGACGACGACGACGATGACGACGACTGGTGAGCGGCGACTATGAGCACCTTCACCCTTCTTCGTCCACTTGACTACCAAACAACACAACAAACAACAAACAACATGGCTGCTGATCTTGCGGTATGGAAGGGGGGCGAAGGGGAGGGGAGGGGAGGGGAGGGGGAGGGGGAGGGGGAGGGGGAGGGGAAGGGGGGAAGGGAAGGGAGGGGAGGGGAGAGAAGGGTGGAGGGAGGGCATGGACTCATGGGGATTTGGGCATGACTGGGGCATGACTGGGGTATGACTGGGGTATGACTGGGGTATGGCTGGGGCATGGCTGGGGTATGGCTGGGGTATGGGTCATGTGGGGCGGCGACGTGTCGGTGACTACGTGGCTGCGGTGGACGACGGCGGTGGGCAGACTCGCTTTAACGCCGTGGTGGAGGAGGTCCGCAATGGCCCGGCTGTGGAGGCCTCGGACGACGACAAGCTCGTGCTGTACGGGCTGTTCAAGCAGGCTACTGTCGGCGACGCTGACCCCAAGGACAAGCCTGGCATGCTCCAGGCGTACTCGGCCAAGGGCTACAAGTGGTCGGCGTGGAACAAGAACAAGGGCATGTCCAAGGACGACGCCATGCAGGCCTACATCGACAAGGTCGAGGCTATGCGTGCCTAAGCATCTGCCGTTGCGCGTCGCCGTCGCGCTGCACCAGTCTGCCATCATCACCTTGCCATCAGCTCGTGATTTCCAGCAAGCGATGTGGGCAAATGAACTCGCTCTCTTTTTTCCACACAACGGAGCAACTATCCCCTCATTGGACGCACGGGATGGCAGAGAGGGAGTGTGTGCAGGGCGGGATGGAGTCTTCCAACGCGATGGCGGCGAAGAAGAGGCAAAAAATGATGACTGCTTTTTTGCTTGTTGTGATCAAGAAACAGATGAGTTACCACATGAGAGTGCGGGCAAACACAAGCAACGTCATTCACCCACACACGGCCATGACAAGGAGCCTGGCAGTATGTGTGCGTATGTGCTTGTGTCGAGAGGCCATCAGAGAAATTGGAGCAGATCGAGGGGGAACAAGTTATCGGTGATGCTCGAGGTGGAGGAGATGTAGAGTGACGAGGAAGTCGATTGAGAGCAGAACGCGCCCATCTACCCGTCTCTCGCCCTCCCTCCCGTCGGCCCGACCTGGTCATGTTCTCGCCGCGCGACGCCGCAGGCAACGCAGTACGTGTGCAGCAGGGGGTTATGCGGATGAAGCACGTGTTAGGCACGTTGGTGTGTGGGTGGTGGACTCATGGCTGTGTGTGTGTGTGTGTGTATGGGTGTGGCGGTGCTGGCGGTGCTGGCGGTGTGGGCGCGGGACGGGCGGACGGACGGACGGACGGACACATGGACGGGGGGGACACACGGATACACGGACGTGCAGGTCGAGTGCACGGGTAGCGAGGCCTGGGCCGGGGATTATCTGTATCCGAACGAGTGGTCATTGACATGCCACAAAAAGGTGGCGATTCTGGACAAGGATCCGTCGTGGGCCATGCACCGGACCGACGACGCCAAGGCGATGCTGTGGCTGCTGCTGGCCCTCGTCGTCTATCTCGGCTTCAACATGGTCGGCTTTTGGGAGCACCACTTTGAGTAGAGTCATCCATCATGGGTTTTAGTACGCATCATGCGCAAACAAACACGAGAGCAGATCCGCAGCCTCATACGCGGTGGCAAGGCCCATGACGACGACCTTGCGGTCAGGGCCGGCGAGGCCGTGGGCGTCGGGGGCAAGGAGCTCGACTTCGACACCAAAGCGAGTGGCGTCAGTGGCAGCCCATGAGACAAGGTCAGCAAGGTCGTAGACGCAGACCGGGTCGGCAGTGAGGCCTCCGCGGGGTGGAAGGCGAGGCCGTCGGCCGAGACGACAAGATCCAGTGCCTTTCCGGCGTGGGCGACGTCGACCGGAAAGACAAAGGCGCCAAAATTGGAGAGCGTCGAGGTGATGTCGAGAAAGGCACGCTCAGCCTCGATGCTCGGCCGCGCGGCAAGCGACTGGTACATGAGGACGACGTCTGCGGCGGCGAGCTTGGGCGCGAGTGCGGGCGGGGCAACGGTGGAGACGTCGACGACCACCTCGTCTGACTCGTCCCAGTTTCCGCGCCGGGCCTGGACTTGGAGTGCTGCAAGCCGGATCATGATGGGCATGTCGAGCTCGGCATCGAATTCGCCGTGGAGGAGCTGGCCACGGACGTGCAGGTACGCGGCGTGGATCGTCTCGTAGTCGGAGAGCTCGAGGGCGTTAAAGCCAAGGAAGGAGCGGATGCGGACAACAAGCTGGACCTGCCGCCGTGACGTCTCATCGGCAGCAAGGACTTGCGGGAGGAGCGGCTCGGCCGGCTCGACCCACACCCATTGCTTGTCCGGCGAGACAACGAGGCCGGCAAGGGTTGGCAGCGAGGCAGCCGCCACAACGACGTGGAGCTCGACAAAGTCAGCGAGGTCGAGCATGTCGCGGTACTGCTTGTACAGCTCGATGGCCGTGGTGCCCGGCTCGGCGTGGAGGGCGCGGACCGAAGATCCGTCCCCGAGAGCCACCCGGACATTGGGCAGCGTGCCCGAGACGGCGGCCTCGAGCTGGATGACCTGCAGCGAGTCACGCGAGAGCAGCTCGCGGCCCGGCGGCCCGGGACGGCGGCGGCGGTCGCGTGCAGCCTTGGCGGCCAGCGCAGCTTGTGCGGCCTCGGCGCGCCGGGCCTCGGCGGCGTGGGCACCGAGCTCGCCGTGGGTCGACTCACGCGCCGACGACGAGCGCTTGCGGCGGCCTCGCACGCGTCCGCTCTGATCCATCCCGTGCGAATTGGCGCGCCGGCGGCCGGAGCGCGAGGGGAGGCCCGAGCCGTGGCGCCCGATCGAATCGGTCGAGCGCTGGCGCGACATCCGCCGCACGGCGTCGCGGGCGGCCGCTGCCGCCGCCACATCCGGGTCGGAGCCGTCCGAGCCGGAGCCAGAGCCGGAGCCGCCATCAAAGGCAAAGCTGTTCCGGGCACCGCCCGACGGCGAATGGAGCTCGGGAATCGAGCCCATCGAGCCGCCGAGCGACGACGCTGCGAGGAGCACGGACGACTGCAGGCCGGCGCCGGCCGAGATGGCGCGCGGCTTGAGCCCGCCTTGCATGCCCGAGTCGACTGATGCTGTGAGTTCGGCGATGGACCGGCCGAGATGGCCGGCGCCGGCCCCGGGAGCGCCGTCGGCCCTGCCCGACG